CACCACACAAGGCCGTTCCCAATCGCTTGCATCATGTCCAGTCGTGGGTGATCCGGTGTCTGTTCCACGGCCTAGGTACTGGCTTGGTACTGAAAGGACAGCAAGAGGAAAACATATAAATACTTCATTAATATTCAACACCGACAACATAAGGACGGCATGCACAAGCGAGATCAAGATACGTAAAGCTTTAGCCAGTTGACTTGGCCTGGCAGCTGACTGGGGTGTCTCGCACACCGTACACAATCAAAGTGGTGGCTTAACTTTTATGAATTGGTTTGGCGTTACAACAGTGGAGTTGTGCAGTGTGCCATCATGTTACCTCACCTCGCGAGGATTACGCGCTACCTGCCGCTTTAGTTATCGCTCCGTCTGGAACGTACCCTGATATTGAGCGTGTTCGGGAACCCTAGTCTTACTCTCTGGACGAAGGAAACCTGGACAGTATTGCTTCCCACCCCTGGTCAACATCGCATGTCCCCCTGCGGTTGCTGTCCCATTATCTGTTGTGTTGTTGTCGCTTGCTGCAATAGCCCATGACTATTGTCGTACTTGTTTGCACTCATACAATCCCAGGCTGTACTTTGGAACTGTTTCCATTGCCCATGTACTCCTTATTCTTTGCTTGCTTTTATGCTGAGAGAACATATGCTGGCTCCCTGTACTGCTTAGCCGTGTACTCATTCGGTAGAAATGTGTGAATAATACTACTAATATCTGACGTGAGTGAGGTGGATGGGCACCTCGGGAACACAAGTTTGAAGTCAGCAAGCAGTCAACTTTTGCGTGAATTTCTTCCGGAACCATGTCTGGTGGGCCCCACCCGTGAAAAAACAAACAAACATTTGTCTCGTCCTGCCGGCCAATTGTCCCCCCTTGTGTGTCCGATGGCAGCGGACGTCGAAATCTGTTACACCCCGATTACACCTGGCCGGAAATCTACTAGCATTTTGCACGATGTTTGACTTGGACAACATTTACTGCCCTGCCATTGTTGCCCGATTTTTGTACTCAGACTGACAAACTAACTACTCTTGTTGTTCATGGTTGCCTCTACAAACACGATACAGTCATGTACATCGCTCTGCACATCCATAACATTCTGATGGTCCCGTGACATTGATCATGCACCCTGTGTAGGGCCTAGAGCGGTACGAACTGGGCGTTTGTTTGCTCCCTTGAATACGACGGCATGTACACCCCTTTCGATCGTGTCAACTACATGATTATGTACTTCTTAAATTATCGAAAAAACATCCACAGTCTCAAGTACTGATACTTATCTTTTCTCTCCGGTCCATGTGCGGTCCGAAAACTGGCTGGCTGTCCCAATGAACTCCGGTTGGTGTTGTCAACAGACAGCTACGACCTTGCTGCCCTTCGCCACGATATCAGACAACTACTGCAGTATGACTGCGGTGTCACCTCTGCCAGGAGCTTCGCCACCATTTGGGACACGATGTTGTGATCGACAGCGCTCATCACCGACTCCGTAGACTCTCGATCTCATCACTGCGCCCACGGAAAACTCTCAAGGACTCGCTGAAGCTTTGAAGAGTATGGTTGCGGTACAGGTAGGTGTCGACTCGACATGTCGGAACTGAGTGACCAATTGTTTTGTCAACTAAATTTTTCTTCCACAATCTTTGCTGGTCGTCCGAAACGCCCTGATTTGTGTAGCTGTCAACGGTGACTCTGCTCCGCCTGGTACCAAACTTGCTTGTGTGTGGCGGACTACGCTCAGCTCGTTTTAGCTGTTTCCGCCTTTCGCAGATCGATCTGCAGCTCCCAAAAACGTCAGGTTACTGGTACATCAGTTTGCAGGCCCAACCAGGCGATGTGGACCTTTTGTAGGCTGGACCGATTCATTATAGACGGTGCACCGCACTGTCGTTTCTTTCTCCCGGACTATTACACTGTAGATCTACTCTGAAAAAATAATAAGATGAGTTGTGGAGTTGTGTGGCTGCGAGTACGAGTGGAAACTAAAAACTGGAGCACTTGAAAACTTCAACTACCACGAGGAAAAACAAAGACCACGATGGCAGGTTCAATGGAGTTGCGCAGAACAAGAGCAAATGCACGAAAATATTTGTGAGTGAAAAATACGTTTTTTGCACTCTTTCGCTACGCTCAGCCGTGAAAAAACAAAGCCTTTCGTCTGTCTTGCCTTGTGCTCTCAACATCGTCTCTTGAACCAAGTTAGCTCCTTTGAAGATGTGAGTCAACCTGAACGCTGGTGTGAGTGTACGTGTCTGTATATGCCTGAGTGTGTGTGTGTGTGAGAGTATGTCTAGGTATATGTGCGTGCGTGCGTAAGAGTAATTCTGTTGGTGGACTCTCTCCAAGTGGCCACCACTGCACGGCCTTGTAATGTGAAGGTTTAGTAAGTAAGTTAGTTCATGTCGAACCGCAGCTTTGGGGTCTAACCCCGGGCCGTCCGGATACGACAACTGTATAAGATCTGGTTACGTTGGTGGACAGTTTGTCATAACTCGTAACATTTTGTCCTTTTCCTTTCTTCATCATACTTGTTGTTGTTGTAGAAGTTTATTTAACGTCGCACCACAAACAGGCGATTTCGCCTCCTTTGATACATGTGGACGACAGAAGGAATGAGAGAGAGAGGGGGGGGGCAGAAGTACGGAGAGAGGAAGGGTAGAAATAAATAAGCAAATCAACCTCAGGGCTACACCAAAGCAAAAACGGAATGGGAACATACTATATACAAAATAGCTTCATACATATATTGCAAAACACGTTTACTATTCTTCAGTCCGCTATACCACAGAAACACACTAGCCGAAAAGCATTTAAACGGAGCCATGATGCGCTTCGAAGTAATTATATTGGCTCACCATCCGAGTTCAATAATAATAATACTCTTTATTTCAGGGTTACCCAAACTCTTTTTCTTTTTTTTTAATTCCACGATGGCGTGACGCCAATAAGGATGATTAATAAGTGCGATAGAACTGGTACTAGCCAGAAACAGCTAGATGGAAATTAACCGGGAGGCAAGAAGCAATGGATCATGAAAAACAAGCGGGGGCAATAATGTTAGCAGGGGTGATCGAGATAGTTAAGTACACGTTCGAGATATCAGAAACCAGGGGGATGCGCGGAGCAGGAGCATGTACTGCTCAAAAGAAGACTGGATGCATTGTTTCGGAAAGAATTTCTACGAGGTTGGGTTGTGATGTCGATAGGGAGTGAGTTGTAGAGGGTGAGGGCACTGTTGATGGGGGAGTCTCGGTGCCTGTTCGTGTGTGCGTGTCCGATGGAGTAGGTCCTTGTCTGTCGAAGGGTGTATGGTTGGTGTTGACGTTGTGGTGCAAGATGTGGTTGTTGCAGGTGTGGTGGGGAGGTTTGGTGGTGGATGTCCCATGCTAGTAGGGCTTGTTTAACAAGGAGTCGTGAGCTAAGGGTGGGGAGCTTTGCGTGATGGAGGAGGGAGCTGTGGTGAACTGGTGCAAAGAGGGGAATCCGAAGGCAGATGCGTATAGCACGGCGTTGAATTCTCTCCAGTGTGTCCCGCTGTTGCTGTGTGGTGTTCGAGAGGGCAAGGCTGCCATATTCGAGAACGGGTCGGATGTAGTTTGTGTATATTAACAATAGGCTGGAAGCGTTCATTGTGCCACGTGTCTTGTGGAGTTGGTGTAGTAGTTTTTTGGCTTTGTTGGTGGTTTCTATGATGTGTTGGGTCCATCGCAAATCGTCTTGGAGTGTAACACCAAGGTGCCTATGTTGGTGGACCTGCTGCAGCCGAGTCGAGTGGAGCGTGATGTGGATGGTGTGTTGGGGTTGGAAGGAAAGGACGACGGTTTTCGTGGTGTTGACGAGGAGATGCCAATCCTTCAACCATCGTCCTGCTGCATCCACGGCACGTTGGAGGAATGCAGCTGACAAATCCCTCGTGTAATGCGTCGCGATGAGTGCCGTGTCATCGGCGAACTGGCTGCATTTAGTGTGAGAGTTTGTACATGCTGGGGGGAGGTCGATCGTGTACACCAGGAAAAGAAGAGGCCCCAGGACAGAGCCCTGGGGTACTCCAGCTGGAATGGATTTCCATGATGACAAAGCGGAGCCAACCTTGACGCTCAAAGGCTAAAGCCTATCTGCGGGAGTTCCTATTTGTGTATGTACTACTTGTAGTAACATAGTTGGCGAGAAGAGAGAAGGTACGCAAAAAAAAGAGTAAATTATTGTATCCGTTCCCGAAGGGAACTCACGACGGCCGCTAACACCCGATAAACCCTAGCGGCAGATGCAGCGCCTAACGGTGAGTGAGTGTGAAATGTTGAGTGTGAAATATTGAATTTAAAAAGAAAAAATTAGAAACACAGGGAAAGAAAGTAAGAAAGAAAAAAGGAAAGAACAAGCATGTACATTGTAAATCAATGATTGCACATCAAAGGTGTACCAGTGCAGTCGAACTGATACTTTGCAATGTGAATTATGTAAATGAGTTAAAATGACGCTTGAATTCAGTTAGTGAATCTAAAGTTGTCAATCGGGGTGATTGACAACTTTAGATTCCCTAACTGCTGCTTCTGCTGCTGCTAGCGTAATGCTTCTTGATTATTCACTTTTACAATTTAGCAGAAGCAAGCTGCAGTATACGAATGAAGAGCAACGTATCCGGTGGGCAATCGTGGGTGAGTAGTTAGGATGCTTGGGCTTGTGTTACACCTACGTATTATGTATTTTCGTCACTGGAGTAGGGAAGTGTCAGTATACATAAACGCAACACAGTCTACAACGGAGGGCTAGCTTGATCACTGACTTATTCAGCAATCCTTGTCAGGTGTGATGGAGAATGGTACGGATCAAAAAAATCTTCAGAACGCTTATAACAGCATTCAGTATGAAACGCCACGGACACAAGACAATAATCATACTCACTCATGTGAAAAGTATGAAGGCGACAGTCACGGTTTAGTGCACAGTCCGCCATCTGCAGCTTACTTGAACAAATGATCGGGTTAGGATTTCTGAAGATGGGAATCGTCATTGGAATTGCCGCCGAAGGGGCTATCCGAGCAGCCTCTGCAGCTGCTGCGGCTGAAGTAGCTGCCGAAGTGGTTATCAAAGCAGCCTCTGCAGCTGCTGCGGCAGAAGTAGCTGCTGAGGCAGCGTTTGATGCAGCAACGGCTCCTGACAAAGGACGTGCCGCCAAAATGGTTCTGGAAGACGCCTCTGCTGCGGCAAGAGTAGCTGCTGAGAAAGTGAAGCGCGCAGCACAGGCTGCTGCCGAAGCAGCCGCAGAGGCAGGAGAAGAGGCAGCGGCAGACTTCGCCGCCACAGCTGCCACTGAAGGGTCAGCCGAGGCAGCCGGAGAGGAAGCAGCCGAAACTGTAGCCGAAACAGCAGCTGAATGCGGAGCTAAAGCCGGTGAACAGGAAGCGGAAATGGCAGTGGGTGAAGCAGTCGAGAAGGCAGCGGAGAACGGAGTCTCGAATCGTCTGGCGAGTGATTAGAACGACGATTGCTGCTTTTGTGGTTGAAGAGCTCACTCGCAACACCATACAAATTGAAAGAAACGGCAGAATCAAGAAAGTTCTTGACTTACTTCTCACGGCAATAACGGATACCAAGAACAACCTCAAGACGTGGAACACTCAGATCTCGAAAGCTGTGTGAAAAGGAAAGTTGAGAAAGTACGACAATTTGCCTAATGGGACGAAGCCGTACGAAGCCATGGTCTTCAGCGAGGAGATGAACGCCAAAGTCGAAGTTATCCTGGAGAGCTTTCAGCCATTCATTATCGAGGTGGGAGGCGTTGTCAAGAAGAAGGATCTTGGAAAAATAGAGGGTGCGGTGAACGACGCTAAGAATGCCTTTGTGAAAGCAGCGGAAACCTTTCTCTCCACGGTGCAAACCTGGGACAACAAGGACCCGGAGATCAAGTCTGAAGCTCGTATCGTCTTCAAGGTGGGACAATTGGAGTCCAATATATCGGCCATAAAATCCCAAGATGTATGAACCGTCCAGGTTCCCATCATCCGAACGCATGCTTAATCTCCTTTGTCGCTGTCTTCTCTCCAATTTCCTTTTAATTAATCAACACCTCAATAGTGTGACACCTGTTCTGGTCTTGAAGGAGTTTTCGTCCCTCTAGCCACATTGGCGTACCTCGCACCTATCTAAGTTGCTGCCCGGGATATTCAATGCGTTTTCAATTATTTTTTTAATGCGCTTTCAATGCTTCCAAGTCCTTTGGGTACAATACTTGCCTTTCCCTTTCCTGCTCTATTTCTGGCTGTATCGTCATTGGTCACGTGTATGATATGCAGTACTGACCTACCAATAGCGTCTCACGTGTATTGTATTGGGCCTCCGCAGCTCCCCCCCCCCCCCCCCCCCCTCCACGCACACACTACATTGTCACATAGCACAACTCAACCATTCGCTACCCTGTTATTGAGCACTCCTGCTCGTTTGGTCCCGCGAATCCAAATAAAATCAATCAATCAATCACGTGTTACATGTACCCGGTATACCTGGCATACTCAATCTGCGGACAAAACTGTTTCGGCCTTTGTGGACTCATCAGCCCAGCACATAGGAAATGAGGCCGAACTTGATAGCAATGAATAGCAAATATTCCAAAGCCAGATTTAAACCAGGCTCGAACGTACCTTGCCAGAGTGCTCAAACTGAAAAGTCAGTGAGCTCTGCATAACGCAAACAGCAAAGGCACTACCCCACACAAGAGTGCTCAACTGCTACGACAGCAGGAGCGAAACACGAAATCTGCGTACAGAACTGTTTCGGCCTTTGTGGACTCATCAGCGCAGCACAGAGGAAGCGAGGCCGAACCTGATAGCAATGAAAAATAAATTTGCCAAAGTCAGATTTAAATCAGGCCCGAATGTACCTTGCCAAAGTGCTCAAACTGACAAGTCAGTGAGCTCTGCAAAACGCAAACAGCAAAGGCACTACCCCACGCAAGAGTGCTCAACTGCTACAAGAGCAGCAGCAAAATATACATGTAACTGTACAGCTGGCATATCAAGTTAATACGTGATGCCCATCTGTGCTGAGAACAAAACCAAATGTTTAAAATAATGGAAATGTATGACTGACAGGGCCCATGAAGCCCTGTCCCAAAATGGCCGACATATTCCTAGGCAATGCACATGCAAGCCAGAAATAATATTTCCAGCAAAGTAGGTATTTTGAAGATAGCACATTCACCCTTCTGAATGCGCTGATAAAAAGTCCATTCTAGTACATCACGGCACATGTACATCACTGCACATGTACATCACGGCACATGTAAAATGTACAACATGTACATCACGGCACATGTGCATCACGGCACATGTACATTTTACATGTGCCGTGATGCACATGTGCCGTGATGTACTGTGAAACCATGATTTGACAATTCCATTTTCGTCTCGTCAATGAACCCGGAAATGCAGTCAACAATAATGCAAGTACATGTACAGTTGCCGTTTGCTTGCAGTAAAGAGATCACGATTGGTGCAGTATGAGCGAGGTTGTAGCAACGTGGTGGTGGCTTCGTTGGAGTCTGTGTATGTTCGATAAAAAGTAATATATATAATATATCATGTACATGATATTATTAAAAATATATTTTCATCGGTTCAAGTTGCTGTCTGATGATCGGTTAAAACCGTGAAACTCAGAGTTACAGAAGAAACGCTTTTCGTCCCTCTCAAGTGTGTGTACATGATATTATTATTATTATACGCATTCCCGCGTTGAAGTGTAGCAGCAGTATGCTGCGTCCACAGCTTCGCTTATGATATGCACATAAATAAAAAAATAAAAAATTTCACGGTTCGCGTGAGACTCGGCTGGAAGCCGAGTTTTCCGCATCCGCCGTGGGAACGCCACCACCCTCTAGGATCAAAGGCGCAGATGCAGCGCCTAAACGGTGGGAGGTGAGTAGATCAGACCCACCACCAAGTGGTCAAAGACCGAAATCCCATTAGCTGCATCCATGTTACCCTCGTGCCAGGCCACGAGTTCCCAATTAACTGTGGGTCGCAGCACGGCTGGAAAAATTCCTTCCGCTTCCAAGCAGGACTTGAACCTGGTACCCTCTGTTTCTCAATCATGGTCTTAGACCATCCCACTATGCCTGCCTGTTCTGATATGCACATGTATAATAATTATTTTACTTTGTACCTGTACGTGTTTACTATTGTATTCTGTATTGGTCATCATGCCTACACCGTACACGTCCAGTTACATGCACATGTAGATCTACCTGCAATCGCACATGTTGACCGACACTGACTACAGTACGGTCCAGGGTCAACCGATTCTTGGCCTGCCTAACAGACACCGGAAATAATCTACATGTAGCTCAAAATGATACACGTAATGAATGCAGTTCCTAGCACACCGCCCACAGACACCAGATAATCCCTCATTCAGCAAATGATGCAGGAAAGTCCAATACGACTGATAGTCTTTACTCCAACTTCCAAGCATTCTAAACACAACAGTTGCACCTGCACAGGGCTTCTAATGATGTCCTGGCTGTCTCCTGATCATTTTGCTAACAAAGCATGGTGACTGACGTCGTGACTGTGACTGGCAGACCCTGGCTCTGATTGTGCGAACTACTGTCCGCCAATGTACATGAAGGTATGAAGTGACATGACGTTGACGTACAATGTTCGATCAATGTCTGACTGGTCGACAGGTGAATGCTACAACTATGAGTAGGAGTAATTGAACAAGTGCTTGAAGAGTTGAATGCTTCAATATTTGATCCGATGCCCCGGCCCCTGAGTGGACTTGTCATTATAGTTATTGCGTGGTGACTGTCCGTATTGCACTGGCCCCCACAGCGGAACGTGTTTGCATCTAGCGTTGCGTGGCATATAGATGCAATAATTACTTACTCATTGTAACTGGCACCGTTTCATTTCGACCTTGGCTTCAATCTAAGTGCGTTGGATTATCATTCTGCTAGTACTTGTTCTGTTGGCCAAACCACCTCACTTCCTGCTCCATCGACGCACAGTACCTCTGCTCACTGCTAAAGAGTACACCTCTGCACTGGGTGACAATAGTACAGCAACAGTCCTGACTCCTGACACTGCTAACTACATATCTACATTGTACAGAACACCAGTTCTGTAACTGCAGCTGGTCCACTCTCACGGGGCTGAGGCCAGAGTGGTGGCGATATGGAGCAGGAAACGCAGACAGTTCCTTTCGCGGCCAGTGCAGTTCAGGACGAGACATCAGTGAGCACCAGTACAGCTGCAAGTGTTGCATTGGATTGTCCTTCAGAAGCCAGAGACATGACGACCATGTCCACTGCGCTAGATCAGATAGAGGGATCTGCAGAGCAGGCTGGTAGGATGGTGGCCAAGATGGCTGCAAAGACGGCTGCAAAATCAGGCCATCACGCTGGGCAGAAGGCTGTTCTACAAGCCACGGCTGGTACAGAGACAGCAGGCGAAAGCCAAACCGATGCCACTGTAATGGTCAGGAAAGTGTTGAAGGCCATGATTGCTGTGTCTATGATCGAGGAGTTACTTAGTGATACCATTGTTGTTGTCGATGGTTTACGTCGTACTAAAGAAGGAACTCGACCAATGCTATTGCTTCTTCAGAGCGCCATTAGCGACGCCAAGGTGAATATGAAAACATGGAATGAACAGACCACGGCGGCCATCAAGACTGGAAAACTCAGAAAGTTGTGTACGCTCCCGGATGGAAGCAGTTGCTCTGAGGGGGTTGCCTTCAGTGTTGAAATGAACAAGGCGGTGGAAGGATTTCTGGCTGCCATTCAGCCATCAATGATTAACTTGGCAGGTATGGCGAAAAAGACAAATACCAATGGGCGCAAAATTGAGGACGCTCTCAGAAAGGCGAAGGATGCATTCTTGAAGGCATCGGAAGCTTTTCTCTCCACTGTTAAAACGTGGGACAACAAGGACACAGAGATCAAGTCTGAAGCTGGTGTGGATTTTCAGCTTGCCCAGCTCGAGGCAAATATCAAGGCCCTCAAGAGTCTTAGCTGTTGATACCTGGCTATGATATCTAGTGTGTAACCTATTCCTTAGTTAATGTGAGTTTTTGTTGTTGACTTTTGTTTTACTTCACAAATCGCACAGGCATGATTGCCTTCTTACCGGCCCATAGGTCCCGTTCTCACAGAAAGATGAAGGAGTTCGGATCGAAGCCATTATAGCTTCTTTTACGTTAGCGCCAGTACATGTCCTTGCACGCGCAATGCTCATAAATAAGTTAAATCATCAAGTTTAGTTAATAATTTGGTTGTGAGCAACACTGGCACGCACTCAATCACTGCTTTTCACCAGAAAATATTTTATTTCAACGTTTCGGTCATGAAATAACCATCATCAGGAATGAAGTGGGCAAACCGGTTAGGATGGGTTAATAATTGAGGAGCGCTGCGAACTGATAATAAATCAGATTTGCAGGCACTATTACAAGAGACAGTGATGCGTCCTACAAGATT